CAAATGGCTGCAATGAAACAAAGAGTGAAAAATTTAAAGGGGTCTGAATACTTTCCGTACCCACTGTACAGTGTATGTACAGGGTTGACTGTGCAAACCTTTTAGCATTGTTTGTTTCCTAAAGAAACAAAAATAATTTGAGATGCTAACAAGAAGCGGCCTGCTGTAATTCACTTAAAGGTCATTTTAAGAATTTTCATTTAGTAATTTGTAAGTAAATTGAAGGGTTTTTTTGTAGAGAAAGCATCAGACACAAATTATCATTCAAAGCAGAGTATCATTATTATTATTTTATATCTTACAACATGTCTGGAGGAGATCTTTTAATTGAAGTCAAACTGAAATATCTATCTAAATGAGAATTACAGGACTAAGCAACATGTAACAATGTGTTAAAAGAAAGGGAACAAATTCAAGTCACACAGCAACTTGTTTTTATTCTTTTGTTTTATTTTATCAATATTACACCAATCAAATTACAGCACTAACATCCACTGTGGTACCATCAATTCACACCCACTGGAGAACACATAATTAAAATTCAAATTTCTTCTTTTTTGTAATTACAATTTTGATGAAAATAAGTAAACTAATGAAAACAAACACCAAAATAATAGATTTTAATTTCAGTTAAAAAATGGTTTGCATTATTAAAATAGCAGCTTTGTACACACAGCAGTGTGACTTCATTTTCAGACCAATGGTAAGCACATTTTCTACTGTTCACTGAACTGTTCATGAGAATGTGCCAGTGTTGCTCCTTAGCTTCACACAACTGATCTTTTAATGTCTTTGCTTCCTTTCAGTGACATGTGCCGGAAGGACAAGGACTGTGAATATTTCTTCAGCTTGGACATTGAAGTGGTCTTAAAGAATGAGAACACACTCAAAATTCTCATTGAACAAAACCTGCAAGTATTTTTTTTATCAATAATGTATTGTTGATATTAATGATAATCTTGTGCTAGCTGATATCTTCGAACTACAAACCATACATAGAAAATCTCTTCATTTCTGTTACACTCATTTATTTGCACGAGTTACGGTTTTACTGACTGCCAGATGGAGAAATATAATGACATTCCTTTAATTGTTTCTCAGCCCTATAGTGGCACCCATGATAACTCGAGCTGGTCGACTATGGAGCAACTTCTGGGGAGCCCTCAGTGTGGACGGCTACTACGCCAGGTCTGAGGACTATGTGGACATAGTTCAAGGACGCAGAGTGTAAGTTGCTTCAGAGAAACGTTTAGTGACAAAACACTTTATTTTATTGACAGACTCGACTGATGAACCGTGTTGAGGCTTTTACTCTTTGAGGCACTGAAACACATTTAAGGTGAACATCTGTACAGGAAGTGTTACGTTTCACTGAACAATTAAAAAAAGGAAAGTAGAAAAAAAAATATTAGAACAATAATTAGTGAATAAACAGTATTTCTGTTAAAAAGAGAAGAGTTAGAGCAGCAGAGTGTTGAGCGTAATCTGATATTACACTGATGCAAATATTGCTGTAGAAATGTATCAATACTACTTATACTATACAGCAGGTGAAGACTGAGAAAGTGTTGAAACAGCAAATAAAAAGAGAAGATCTGAAAACAGAGAGGCGTCTTACGGGGGATATTAGGAACAAAGTCATGTCTCTAATAAAGGCCTGGTTCTCTTTAACACTGTCTGTTCCTTACAGTAGATCCTAGCGTTGGTATGTAAATGGTCTAAGACTGTCTTGTTTCTTAGGGGTGTGTGGAATGTCCCATATGTGTCCAGTGTGTACCTGGTGAAGGCGGACCTCCTTCGATCGGAACTCACAGAATACGAGCTCTTTAACTCGCACATCTTAGACCCTGACATGGCATACTGCCACAACATCCGCAGCAAGGTCAGTAAGAGAATAAAGAGGGATTCCACGTTGGAATGGACTTACATTAGTATTAGTACATGTATGTACTGCATAGAAACAATGATAAAATAACTAAAGCATGTAAAGGGTAGTTTCAGTTAGTTTTGACTTCGAGTTTTTTTTCTCCCTGTGGTTCTTGGTGTCTATTTTGTGTAAGCTCTGATGAAAATATATTTATAACTGTAAATGAGATTTTGTCTATAATATCTGACCTGTTGTGAATCTTTCGCTCAGGGAATCTTCATGTATGTGACCAACATGCAGACATTCGGCCGCATCCTGTCGACAGACAACTATCAGACCGGCCATCTTCATAATGATCTGTGGCAGATCTTTGAAAACCCAGTGGTGAGACTGAAAAAATGAACTGTGCACGGGTAACATTACTCGCTGTTGTAGCAGTTGTTATAGGGTCAGTGAGTGGGGCAGGTTTCCTCCCTTGTGGTGATTGTCATTGTCATTGGAAATATGCTGGGGGAGGTGTGTATCTGACCTTCTGAAATGGTCCTAAGCTTTGACTTGAAGAGTCAGAGGGAAAAGTAGGACTCAGGAGCTCTGTGTACTGGGATTTTTAGTGGCTGCTGTAAATCAAGGACTACAATTATGTCTACCCATAATTCCCTCTCTCAAGCACGGGATCAGCCAATAGCCTGCCTCTAAAGGTTACATGTCAGAACTACATCACATCAATCATCCCAGCTTTGTACGCACCTTGTCATGATTAAGATTACCCATCATGCATTGTGTCAATAATATGGATGCTTGAATATAGTGATGCATGCAAGAAGAAAGCTTGAATAGAATATTTCCCTTACAGTTATGCTGACAATATCAGATTAGCCATTTGGTGTAATAGCCATATACATAATGTTTGTACGTTAACCACACACACGTTTAAATGTTCAATGCAAAGATAGATAGATACTTTACTTATCCCGAGGGATTTCCTCATTTATTGTTGCTCTTTCACACTCACTAATATTCTTGTATTTCACAACCCAGCAGTAGGTTTAACAGCAGCAGCAGCAGGACTGGTCACAGCTGTGGTGGTAGCAAAAGCAGTCGTATTGCTGATAGCAGTGTTATAGTGATAGCATTGTAAACATTTGCTGTATGGTGTGTGTTTCTTTCAGGATTGGCAGGACCGCTATATTCATGAGAACTACACTTACATCATGAAAGACAAACTGATTGAAACTGTGAGTTGACCTACAGACAGATGTCATGAGTTGTTTGCATTGTAATGGAGTAAAATGCGGACTAATGTTTTTGAATTGTAAGAAGTGAACTAATTTAAACTTGTGTGTTTCTTATAAATGTTGTCACTGCAGTGGACAGCAGAGTACAGACTAACGAGTCCCTTGTTAAGACTTTATTTTAGAGATTAAGATTTTAAAAGAAAGAACAATCCTGACGGTGGATTTGAATAAATGTTTGATTGTATGGAATATTTTATCTCAGTGGTTTAATTGTCTTCTGTCCTCCAGCCCTGTCCTGATGTGTACTGGTTCCCAGTGTTCTCTGATGTTGCTTGTAACCATCTTGTTGAAGAAATGGAGCACTATGGGAAGTGGTCAGGAGGAGGCAATGTGGTATGTTATCATATGGGTTTGTAATTTTTCCATCTTGTGATTTGCAATAACTATTTCTCCTCATCTGTAATAATTGTAGAATTCAGTGTTGATCAGTATCTGTCATAATGATTTGCTGTTGGGTATTTGGCCAGCGGTACCTGGCAAAATTCACAAACTTTCAGTAAGTTTTGTCCCTGTTGAGTTGTAGTTTTTTTCTAAACTGATTTATTTTCTTCTTTGTCAGGACACCAGAATCCAAGGTGGCTATGAGAACGTTCCCACAGTCGATATCCACATGAATCAGATCAACTATGAAAAGGAGTGGCACAAAATGTTACTGGAGTACATAGCACCAATAACAGAGAAAATGTATCCGGGTTACTACACCAAGGTAAGAACCATGAAGTCCATCATTGGTACACATTCTTATGAGATGAAAACCAGTCTGTGTGGAGATGAAATTCAAATAATCTGCTCCCCTTGGTTGAACATGATTAAGAAATGATTGATGTTTGACTGTCCTCATTCATCCTACTTTGTCTCCAGCTTTGTTGCAGAGTGGATATTGCTGTAGTGTGTACCTGTCAGTCCAATAGAGTAGCAAAGTGGGAGGGCATTTAATATAAATAACTTAAAGTGTTACAAATTACCCAGGACACTTCCATCATTCTATTCTCAGACTGCAGAAGAGCCAAGAAAGATAGTTGAATGTTGAGTCTCATTCCCAGGTTGTCAAATATTTATGCTGAGACTCAATAATCAGCTAAACAACCTAAAGCGTCTTTATATCTTTCTCAGCTCTGATTGGTTGTTTTTGTTCAGCCCTGGTGGATTCCTATAAATGCCATTAGGAGCACTAGGAGGAGCCAGAGGAGCCTGATTTTTTTTTACAGGTCATCTGTCTCATGTACTAGTGTCAGGACAATGAACATTTTAGCAATAATGACAAAAGTTGTTTTTATAAAGGTTACCTACTGCAGCTTTATTGTTATAATTAAGATACTGTAAGCTGTGGCCGTACCACACCACCACTATGCTGCTCTATAAGGTCAAACGGTGATAACTGTCCTTGGATTATCTGTTGATGAATGTTTGGACTTTGTGGACGGTGCCTATGTCTGTTAGGCCATGATGGCGATCACAGCTAATGCCTCTAACCCACGTCTTCTTTTGGGTGGTGTGTCAGAAATGGTGTGTCCCAAGGAATTGTGTTGAAAGGAGTAAGAGCTCTTTCCATAAATTCTCAAATAAAAGGTTCAAAGTTTTAGATGATAAACCATGGACAACACAAAGTCCAGTTGTAGATAAAGGGTTTTTAAAAACTTTGAGAAGGGGTGGAATTAATAGCTCACGTGGTAAATTCGGCATAATTACTAATTACATCCAGTCGGTTCTACTTTTTAAAAAAATGATTGCTAAACTATTGTCAACCATACTGAACACTTAAAGAAGCAGATGTTTCAAATTAAAACCCTAAAGGAAAAGGAAAGAGAGGAATTATGTCCTTTGAGGCACTTGAAACTTGAAACATCTGTGTAGAGAGTTTTATGTCATTGACAGTAGCTTAACAACGGTCAAGAAAATGGCAAAGTGAAAGCGACTGGAAACAGTGTATCTGTTGAGAAAAAATACATCATACTGAATGTATCAAGACAACAGGTAAACATGGAGGGGGTGCTGAGTTTAACAGCAAATGAAACAGGAGCAGACTAGTTGTGATGTTCTGACTTACAGAGCAGGGGGAATTAGAAATAAAGACTGTCTAATGTAAGCCTGTGTCAAACTGTGGCCTGCTTCTTTTAGCTGTTGAGGATCATTTTGAGATTTTATTTGAGAATTTGTGATGCTGGAAGACAAGCAGACAGATTCCATTGACTGAAGACGATTGGTCACTGTGGGTAAGAAAATACAGAGTGAGGTTTGTAAAATGTTGGTAAGAGAACATTTACAAACCTGTTTGAAAGACGTGAGGAAGAGGGGGACACATTTTGTTTAGAGGAAAAACATTTGAATGACCTAGAAATAGCTAATGATACTTGGTGTTATATAGGGCTGTGTGTTGGCAAGAATCTGGCAATATGATACATATCATGATACAGGTGATATATTGCTATACTGTAAGCAAGGCGATATATTACCATTTATAAAAAAAATATCTAATTTTAGGAAAATCCCCTTTTCATCTTTGAGTTCATTTTACAGAAACCATGAGGACCAAAATATCAAATTATGTTATTTGATAGCCTACTTTTTTCAGGTAATATTCATTAAACAGTTTGATAGTAATTTCCATCTTTGCTAAGCTAGTTTTGTGCCAAAGGAATTAAATGCCTGTCCCAAATAAAAGCAGGTTAAGTTCAAGTTTTACAGTAATCATTTATCAAGTAAAGAAATGTGCAGAACAAAGACTGTTTAGTTTAAAGACTGTTAACAGACGATGCATTATATAAACGACTCTAATGGACTAACTGAATAATGTATAATTTGATGTAAATAACCATAACCATCAGTTGCAGCGCCCTCGTTGGGTCTTGTGCTGCTGCTGCTTCCTGTGTACTCTGCTGATCAACATGTCTTCTCTCATCAGTGTGCCAGTCCCTTGAACTTTGTGGTGAGGTACAAACCCGACGAGCAGCCCCTGCTCGCCCCTCACCATGACGCCTCCACATTCACTATTAACATAGCTCTCAACAGCAAAGGCATTGACTACCAGGTAAATGAGGAGGAGCAGGCAGGTAGTAGAAGCTACAGGACATGACGATGCAGGTGATCTTCACCTTTCTAGCATCTCTGCTACTCTGTTCCAACTCTGGAAGTGAATGCTGGACCGGGGAAACAAGCTGAAGCTTTTCTTTATTGAGCAGAAGGTTGCGAGGGCCGTACACACACTCTGTGTAGCAGTTTCTGTGCGAATGCTTGCATGACTCCTTTCTGTCTGTGTGTTTGCAGGCTCAGTTTGACTTGGCCTTTGTAGTTAGATATAAGCCAGATGAGCAGCCCTCTTTGAGACCACACCATGACGCCTCCACATTCACTATAAACATTGCACTCAATCAAGTGGGCCCTGATTACCAGGTGAGTTTGGACGTCTGACATTTCCAACAGGTAGCTCATGGTTACTACATGGAAGAAGAGTTGGTATAGTAAGCACGAAAACGTATTTACCCAACATCCCATTCCCCACGCAGCTGTTCATATTAGACAACACCTGGCAACCTGAGCTGGTTTTGTGCAGGGGTGTAACAATCAATCAATCTGGACTGATGTATCGATTCAGTGATCAAAGTTAAAATATCGTCGATGTAAAGTGAAAGATCCACATCATCATCTTTACGATACACCTTTACTTTGATATTCTCCCTCAGTCTCAGTCTATGTCACCGTTTGCGTCCGAGCACCTCCTTCCTAAACATTCTATCAGTGCAAAGACGATGAGGATGTTTACTCCCCTCTGTGGAATTGATATGACAGAAGTACTATGTATACAACACTGTTACGGGATAAAATACTAAGGAAACACAACCATTTCATATATGCAAATTAAATTAAATGTAATTGTGGGTGTATAATATCGTCTCACATTGATTGCAGTCAGATGGAAATCCTATCGTGGCAGACTTTCTGATATCAGCACATATCATATCGTCCAAAGAATGAAAAAAACATTGTGATGAAGCTGTGTATAAACACAGGAAGCTTTTTTTCCATTAACTTAGAAATTAAGCATCAGTTCTTAAAGAACTACAGGGGGCGACTGTAGCTCAGGAGGTTGGCGGTTTGATCCCTGGCCCCTCTCGCTGCACAGTGTGCTTGAGCAAGATACTGAACCCAAACAGCTCCTCATGTATGAATGGATTGCTTTCTGATTGTGGGTATGAATATGGGTGAATGTGGCATGTAGTGTAAGACTAGAAAGGTGTTATACAGGTACAGTCTGTTTACAATATTATAGAAATATGGTGAATTTGATTTTAAGGTGGGGGGTAAATAGGGAGCAAATCTTTGCCCTGTTTATGGTTGAAAATACCAACTTTCACATGAACACAGAGGAGGTTTGATAGAGCATGAAATAAGAACCATATCATTGAACATGGAACGCCATCATATTTCTGGCATGTACATCCACACCCTGGTGTTTCAAACTTTTCATTTGTGTCATCTCTGTTTGTGAGTCTTTCTTCTTTGCATGACTCATAAAGCTGAAACTAAGACCCTTGTTTTGTTTGAATTGTTGCATCCATGTTGTTTCCCTGCATCTCCAATGAACTGGACTAAACAATTAGCCATTAGTCCACAGTCTTATTATCTGCTAAATACAGTTTCTATCATTTGTGAGGATTAAAACAAACAGTTTTTAATATTTACATTTTTGTAAGTAATATATATCTATATGTATATACATGTAATATGTGATTGTGTATAATTCTTCTATTGACAACCCCAGTAGTTTTGCTTGTTATAGGGCATTACCTGATCACAGATATTTAACATTCTCAAATAAAAGCCAGTGTTACTGTCCAGCATGAAACAATAAATGCAGATTAGTAAGTATAATGTCCATTTCCACAGCCCTGATTTCCACTACACACAGAT